ATCCGGCTAAATTTGGGGGGTGCTGTGATGAGGTGGATCTGCTTATAAGAATACCACTAACAAGTAGAGATGCTAGCACAGGACGGGGAAGTACATTGATGAACAGACAAATCAAATAATTCTGCATGCACCAACTTCGGCCAATTGGGGAGAGGATTTCGAAAAGTTATAGCAAACATTTTCTCTGTAATTAGCTTATCTGATGGAGGTTCAAGCACATACTTCTTTAAAATACATAAATTAAAATCTACTTAAGTTTTCACTCTCAAATCGTGTTTAGTCCACAAAGGAACTGCGTTTACAACCAGTTTTGGAAATGTTTAAGATTAACACCAAAATATTGTGCTGTGAACGGACATACGCCACAAACTAAGCGCACAAAGCAAACGCATTAACCAAATTATAAGCTATGGAGTGGGATAGGGCATATATACCTATTCTAAGGCACTGTAATAGTTTGGCAACATCAAATTTCATAAAGAGCACACGCCGGAAATAGGAAGGATGCGCTTTGTCGCTCCATCTAGGAGTCATCCCGCTATGCGTGTGCTCGTGTCTGTGTGTGTATGTGTGTGGCTTACTAGGAAGTAAATTTCGTTATCGTTTATTATTATTATTATGCGCGATGTGTGAAATGTCTGTATATATGTACAAGGGGAGTGCGTGTGTGTGTGTGTACCTCATGTTTGTGTTGTGACGTGGGAAATAAATTTATATTCATAACACAGGACGCGGACGAAGCAAAAGACGTTGGTGGAGCCGAAGGCGCCAGCGCCACAAGTCGCCGACATGCATACAAAGTGCTTTATGTGTGTGTATCACAAAATGGTGGCAATGTTGTGCCTCCTGCTCCAGTTGCAGCTCTTGTGGCAGCATTTCATCAGCAGCCACCATCAAGCTGGGAAGTTTTTTGATTAAGCTGGAGTGGAGCGTGAAGTTCTCTGGGAGCTTTGAGTCTAGAGTAGCATGTGCAGCTAATGGGATCAGCGATGCAGGCGGCGGCATCAGAGCTACAAAAACTCTACATATTGATTACTAATTTACTTGCCGTCTATGTCTCAAGTTTCTGCCCAAAACTTCACATAGCATCACGACAACACAAATGCAGATAACTTGATTTTGCCAGTAGTTGCCCAGGTTAGTCCAGATCCGGCATTAACATCAGGTAAATGCACAGGACGTTGATGCAACAGAAAGTTGAAGCCTGCGTCCAGGTAACATTCACGTTGCAGTTGGCTATCCCTTTGGAGCAACTTCGTCTTCATATAAAATGTACAAAGCGACAGAGCAAAAGTAATTTTGGGTACGCAGGCGGAGTATCTGGTGGCCTTCCAGGCACATGACTAGACCCAATATGAACTTCCACTCAAAGTCGCTCATGCATGAAGTCAAACGGCAAACGTCGAAGCTGGAAGCTCCAACCTCTGACTCCGAGCCTCGAATGTTAAGCGACAGTCGCACAACAATCAAAAAGCGTATGGAAGTCAAAGGCGCCACAGGGCACACGGCACAGGGTACCGGGAGGACCAAATAGAGAACGACTGGTAACTGGGCGCCTAAAACTGTTCCCATCAATAGCATTGGGCATTGGGTTTGGGTTCGATGCAATGCAATAACTTGCCAAACTGACACCATATCCTTGGGGTACACTTTTTGGAAGCGGCACATGTAGCGCTCTGTGTTCTAAAATAGTTTTTTTTCTTCTCCTGTTTTCAGTTATATCTGTATAAGGAAAGGGAACTACACGCACGACTTCTCATCATCATGTGTATTCAGGGTATACATGGGTTTTGGGTACACTTAGCGAAAAACCATTGTAAAAGTAGTGTACGCTAAAGAAAAAATATCAGGCCTTAGTATTTATAATTTTTATTTTTTTCTATGAAAGTTGATCTTTTCTTTCTTTCTTTTGAGAACAGATTATATTTATCGATCTGTTAGCTCCAAATTGTTTATCGTGGGAGTAATTTAAATTTGTAACGCAAACTGTTTATATTTTGGAATTTCCTTCAAGTGCAAATTTATATGAATGTTTGAGGTAACTAGTCTCCTATGTTGGGAGTAGTTCCTTGGTGCATTTAAAAGTTTGAATATTTTGAATCTTTCCCTAATCTAAAGAAGAGCAAGATTCCACATTTTGTCTATTGTTACGAATAGCCATCAGGGTTGCAAATATGAATTGGCACCACATGCACAACAATCGATAGGTTTATATTCAAAATTAATATTCATATTATAAACAAGGCTTTTTCATAAATAAGTTTCTGAAATACATTTTTAAAGCACAATTTTAAGTAACTGAATTGAGTCCAAAAAAAAAAAAAATGCATGTAATCTGTTGCCTGAATCTTTATCATAATTTGTTTTCTGACGTTCCAATTTTTTTTTCTTATAATCATTTCGCTGCCTGTATACTTTTTTTCAATGGTAAATCATGCACAAATCGAGCAAATTGCATATTTCTTACGCTGGCGATTTAATTTTTTATGCGATATGCAAGAGAGTCAAGAGTCATGAGTCGCCTCCACTGCAATTGCTGCTCCAACTCCGACCACATACTTAGGTTTCCACTTGGCGCATTTGTGTCTTTCTCTTTGCGAGTGTGTGTGACTTGTAAATTTCCCCAGTTGAAGCTCAGCAGCAGCCGTAGCAGCAGTACTTGCAGAGGCGCTTGATTGAGCGCACGTTTTCCCGGCTTCGAGTTGGACTGTCAGACAGTCAGAGCTTCACTTGACTTTTTATTTAAAATATAGAACATGATGTGGCGGATTGGGTATGTGGTGCACGAAATTAAACAAAAAAGGCAACGGCTAACTCTTTTTATTTCCCAAGTGTCAGTAGAAACTTTGGCGCAATATTCGTTTGGATTCAAAGCACCGACCGATGTAATGGCAGCTCGTACGTGTTTAGTTATTTTCTTTAAGGTTTGCTTAGCCTAGCAAGAGCCTAATCGGACATGATATGAAATTTCTGCTATATCATTAGCAGCATCATTATAATTGTTGCCTGCAAGCCCCCTATTGAGATTCAATCCCTTTGTCTGTATTAAAGTTACATTCACTGAAACCCCCACAAATCCCTGGTCCTCTGCAGCATTTTTGCATGTCATGTCATGAGTATGTAAATTTTCTCCCTACCTCTCTCACTCTCTCTCTCTATCCCGCTCATCCCCTCTCTTGCATCTCTATATCTATGCTACAGTATTAATGTGAAAAAGTACAGCGTTGATTTCACATGTCCCTCTGGACACACTTGGGGACTGGCGAATCCTCCACCATGCGAAGGCGTTGAAAAATGTTGCAAAGATGCAAAACAACTGTTGGCAGTTTGTCAAATTTGATTTGTCATACATCAAATGGCTTTAAAATGACAAGAAACGAGGGCTGCCAGCCAAATGGCAGTGGTAGATACTAGAAAAAAATAACTTGTGTCCCAAATAGACGTCGAGTGAGAGCTACAGAATTGTTGGTTGGAAAAATCAAAAAGGAGTTGACAGCTAAAAAGGCAGGTTGCATAATAAGAAGGACTAGCTAACATAAAAAAGTAATACGTTCGCTTCTAATTCAGTTTCTTATATATAAGGTACAAGTTAAAAAATAAGCGACAATTTTAGAACATAATAATTTGTTACCATATTCCGTATTTATAATAATAACCAAAATAATAATTATAATTGTGAGGCAGCCACTAATGTAGCCACCCCACAGTTCATAATTATAGTTATAGGATATAAGTATTGTATAGTATGTAAACATTGTATTAGTAATGAGACCAGTTAAGGCAATGTGCCGAGGTATTGAAGCTAATTCAGGGCAAGGAGCCTAGTTTAAATTTATCCGCCGGCCGCCGCTGCAACCGTGCGTTGCTGATCGGTTGCTCAAGACATCCTTCGAGGGCGCAGCTTCAATTCGGCGGCGAAGAGCGAAAGATCGCGGCGAAGTTGAGCGGCCGAGGCAAGCGCACGGCTCGCTAGCGAGCGAGCCGGCACTTTTTGGACAACATTCAGGGTGAGTAGAGTTTACTTTTCATTAAAAGTAATAGAGTATACAACAAATTCAAAGACTCGCTTATGCCGACTAAGCTTTTGAAGCTTTTAAACTCGGTACTTAACGCAATTTCTTATAAACAGTTTTCGACATTTTACAAGTCAAAAGTTTATTAAGTTGTGAAATGCATTGCCTTAGTGGTAGTAGTTAGGTCTATAAAAAAAAGCGAGAAGCAAGTTAATCTGAATTTCAAAAAGCCAGAATTCCCGCTGCCCGCTGTTTTCTATTTTTTCCCACAGTCAGACTTTCAAAGAAGCCACATCCGGCATTGATAAGAACCGCCTATCATCTTGGCGAAATAAACAACGTTGATATATATACAAATACAATACGCTTCTATGCTTTCAGCTCTTCAGAATAACTGCAATGAAAACTTAAGAGATATACAAAATAAAAAATACAATGCCTATCTAGTGTAAAATATTTATTGACTTGAACTAATTCAAAATATGTGTACATGTTCATACGACTTGAAATTGTTTATAGGGTATATGAGTTTCGCACTATCGAAAATATATTTCATGTGTTATAGCACTTTATTTTATCTCTTTTTTTTTCAACGTAAAACACGAATTTAAACTAAGACTTTAGACAAACTTTATAGAGAATACTGTTATGTACTGTTACTGATCACTTTAAACGATTCATGTAAGCCATAGTAAGTCAGACAAAATTATAAAGATTAAGGTGTATAATACGCCAAACTTATCGGATCGACACAAGAGTTAGGGGCATCAATGTCGGCTTGTAATATATTACAGAAGTCCATATCCTTTAATTCAAGTCAAAACTCTACATCACTTTATTATTTTAATCTTGTTGGCCGATCGCAGTACTGAAATTGCATTGCTGATAAGGAAATTTGTTATCGCAGTTGATAACATATTGCCAGTTAGTACAAATTAATATCAGTTTATACATATATTTTCAGAATACGTTCGAAGCTAACGGAGAGATGTCAGAAATTCAACTACGTGAGCTTGTTTTCGGAGAGGTACTTTTATATGATAAATATGTATAAGGTTAATATTAGTAAAAAAAGAGTGCAAAATTTGTAGGCAATTGGAAGAGGCTCCTTTGGATTCGTCTGTAAAGGAACCTATAATGGCGATGTGGTTGCTATTAAAACCGTAGAGGGGACAACTGAGAAGAAGGATATTGAACGCGAGGTATTTTATTTGGCAATGGTCGATCATAGGAACATCATCAAATTAAAGGGTATAGCGACCGATAACATAAAAACCCACTTAGTTATGGAATATGCCGAAGGCGGAAGCTTGTGGTCCTTCTTACACGAAAGCGAGACGACATATACACTTGCACAAGGTATAAGCTGGTTACGTCAGGCTGCGGAAGTATAAATTACATACGTTTTTTAATCAGAGCGGATGGAAACTTATTCATGTTCTATTTAAAGGGACTCGCTTATCTACATCAGCTAACACAGAGATCGGTTATTCATCGTGATGTGAAGCCCCTCAATATGTTGCTAGACGGCACAAAAAGCACTTTGAAACTTTGCGATTTCGGGTTTGTCAGAAATGTGCAAACCCAAATGACAAGTAGACTGGGTACTTGCTTGTATATGGCACCCGAGGTTTATATATCTCATATAGTCGGGTATATAAATCATTTCAATTAACGCAATTTACACAACACAGGTTTTCAATGGTCAACGATACACTGAGAAATGTGATGTTTATAGCATGGGCATTACAATCTGGGAAGTTCTGTCGCGTAAGAAGCCGTACTATGAACAAGATGGCCTTAAACCAGTCAAACTCTTAAGACAAATTGATGATCACGGTATGTTCATAAATTATATGCATTTCATTATAGAGGTTAAAGAATAAGATTATAATTTCAATTGATGCAGGGTTACGGCCCTCACTAAAAGATTTAATTTTTGAGTGTCCTGAGCAAATACAAACTCTGATGCAAGAATGTTGGGATAAGAACCCCGAGAAGCGTCCCTCCATGCAGGGTATTGTGGAAATCTTAAAACAGTTCTAAGCAACTTTCAGGAGTTGACAGTAATTACTAAAACATTTAATCCATATGTGTGAGCTATTTAAATAAAGGATTAATCTACTTAAGTGGACTAAGATAAAGTCTATGTGGATCACTTTTTAAAGTCTGTCAAAATCTTTTCAGCGAGTTTCTATAAAAACAGTCATGGGCCACAAAACAATACAAATATAAACAAGTAAGAGGCTCTTGTAGGGAGTTTCTGACAAGGGAATACCCTGAACCCTCTTCTACTAACACCAAATGCATGTTGCGCTACTGTGTCGTTTTCTTTAATAACTTTTGTGTTTCTTCTCAAGTCTCTAGCTGTTATAGGTTCTCCGATTTCTGTGTTCATACATGCGGATACTTATGGATGGACGGACGGATAGACAGACGGACATAGCTAGATCGGCTTTTGATGCTGATATATACTTTACGAGGTCAGAGATACTTCCTTCTAGCTGTTACATACATATATACCCGTTTTAATTATTTTTACTCATTTATAATGGGTTCAGTGTATGAAAAGAAAACTGACATTGGTAAGAAACATAAAATTTCATATACTTTTCATTTTTCTACAGAATCGTAGAAAATTTTTCAATATCGCACTTCTCATTCATTAAAAGCTGTTACACTTACCTGAGATATTTCAAAGTATAGTATTATTTGGCTATACGAGCATTGCAATTTTTTAGACACAAGCTTCCTTTTCATAGACACTCCATTACCTTCTTCGGCATGATTACGCATATATTAACAATGCTTCAAACACAAACTGGGGCTACTTCTCTCTTCCTAAGTAGCCCATTCATTAACTTAATATTATAATATAAATTTAACGCACTCCATCAAAAGTGGAGCACTCGAAAGTCAACACCAGTTGAAGGTTGACGGGTTTGGGGGAGGAGATCACTTCAGAACACGGTTAGAATACCGGCAGGCACTGATGCCAGCCAGGCAAACACTTTGGGCCAACTTAGCCGGCTGCAGGGCAGGAGCTAGGACACACAGACAAGCATCTGTTTGAAGGACATGAAATGAAACTCATTTGCTTCATTGGGCCCTGTAAGCAGGCTGCAGAAGTGGGCTGGCAAATGCCACAGTTGGTTTTTACCCGGAACTAGCTGGCTGCTTGGCATTTGTGCAGCGTGACACGCAAATTGCCAGGATCCACACACAGACACACACACACACACACCAAACACACACACATAGCTAGACAATGAAACGTGTTAAGCTTCGCCTCCGACAAGTCAAGTGGGAGCACAATGGACTCCGACAGCCCAGACACTCATTTGTAGCTGTTGCAGCAGCTGCAGTTGGGCCAGTGTGACCATGACTAATTTGTTAGCAATTATGTTGGATTGACGTCGCCGGACTGAACTACATTAGCATAATTGTTGTTATGAGCAAGCGATCACAGGTGTGTCTTTCATGAAGTTAGTCATGACTGCCGCACGGAAGAGAAAGCATGTGTTTAAGTGAAAAGAATGAAACTAACATTGATATCGATTTAGTCCTAGGTAAGCAAATGCCTCCAGTAATACATCTAAATCCCACTTATCTTCATCTGTCTATAACATAACCAGCCGGATACTGATTATTTTTCTAACAGACAGACTGTACTGAAGTCATGTTATAAAGGTGCACACTATGATGGATTCTTGGGTAGTTTCTGCACGAAGTGGTTACAATACGGTTTTGAAATAATTTTAAAAGATCTTTGTTAGTAATCATGAGAAGCTTGTTTCTCAGGTTTTCCAAAATCCACTTATGATGAAATACACATGTTCATTTTTTCAATTTTTATAAAAATCATAATCAAACTGGCATCTGGCATAATTTGGATATGAATATGGTATGAATAAGGATTTGTACCGAAATAAAAAAAAATAATTTTTTAAAGCCAATATATATTTTCCGCTGCAAGAATGTTTAAATTTCGGCATACTGTAGCCTTTTTTTAAACGGTTAGCCCCAGCTTCAACAACTTAATGACTTAAGCAACTAACTAGAACACAAAGTCTCGTATGAAGTATCCACTCTAAAACTCAGTCAAGTGCAAAACCGCAGCTAGTTTTGGGGTACCGGAGGGAGAGGTTCAAAGAGCCAGATAGCAATGGGACAGGAATAGAGACAAGAACACAAACACGGCCACAAACCGCAGCTCTGCATGTTTAACAATTTGCACTTAATTGTTTAGCTCGACAACAACAATTACGAGACAACTGACAACAGCAACAACAACAATTATATAACACATTTACAAGCGCACTGTAATTAATTTATGTGAAGTGCTTGGGAAGCTGCTTTAAGTCAGCCACTAAATAGTTTCCCATTCGTTTATTCAGACATTGGGTCGTCAACTTCTGGCTGCCGCTGCTGCTTCTTTACACTATGACACGCCCACTAACCTGTGTGGCAATCTAAGAGGTGATCACGTGGTCAGCAATTAGAGCCGGTTAAGTTGATGCCGAGGCTGCTGTCCCAGCGAGTTGCTGCGTTTGTTAGATAACTAGAGAAAAGCTGTTATCGAACGACAGATATCCCTGCAGCACGAAGAGTAATACAGTTTTATTCGCCGATTTTTAAAAAGCATCTGTGATAAACATAGGCATAACATAATAGTTAAGTTCTAGTTTTCAAGGATCTCTATCTCTGTGTTGGACGGAAGAGGAGTCTCTTGAGTGTGCAAAAAATATTTCTGTCCTCCACAAGAAAATTGTCCCTGATATTGATTTATTCTAGAATATAACGAATTTTATAGAGCTTTGCAATCTGAATCAGTTTTTTAACAACTACGTATGCCTTATGTCTAAATTCAAACAACCCGATGTGGAACCCTTAAATGAGCCACTCCCGCGCAAAATCCCGCGTTTGAAGACTGTCGCTTTTCAAATAATCGCAAGCGGGTCATCCAGTATTTTTGAGGTGTTTCTTATGCTGCCACTGGATGTGGTAAAGACACGACTTCAACTGCAGAGCAATGCACAGGCAAAAGGACCCAATCACTATAGGGGGGTGCTTGATGCCTTTGCCAAAATATATCGTCAGGAAGGTGCTAACGCATTTTGGAGAGGCGTCGGCCCTCTACTAGTGTCTGACACGCCGAAACGTGCCATTAAGTTTGTCATTTTTGAGCAGTCCAAGCCGTATTTTCAATCTGGTTCGGTGCCGAGTCCCGTTAGCTATGCACTAGCTGGTGGTTTGGGCGGCACCATTGAGGTGCTGCTACAAAATCCCTTCGAGGTTGTCAAGGTCAGACAGCAGGCGAATCGGAAGAAGAAACTCCGTCCCTTGCATGTCGCGAGGAATATCATTAATGAAGGCGGCTTTGGTTTCAATGGGCTTTACAAAGGCGTGACAACGACCATGGCACGAAACTTCATTTTTCACGTAATATACTTCGGTTTCTTTTGCAGTGTTCGAGAGGCCACGCCCGCTTTTAATCATTCCGTTATGGAGTTTCTGCGCAATTTTACGATCGCTTACGCGGCCGGCTCTTTGGGTTGCTTGCTCAGTATCCCTCTTGACGTGGCAAAGACACGGATTCAGGGACCACAGCCCGTGCCGGGCGAAATTAAATATGCTTGGACTTATGGCACGCTTTCGACGGTATATAAAGAAGAGGGTGCTCATGCACTCTACAAGGGCCTCCTGCCGCAGGTTTTGCGTGTTGGCCCAGGCGGAGCCATACTGCTATTGGGCTATGAGTATGTGACGGAAATTTTGGTTAAATATTTCAATTAGGGTATTACACATTTTAATGTAATGTTCAGCTATTTCTTGGACCTGAAGCATGAATAAAAAAATTTGCAACATGTACTAGAACGAATCGTTATTCGAACGGGTGTCATTAAGCCGGACTTTTTTTTATTTATGTAGCAAAGATTGAAAAGTGGAGTTGAGAAAATTGTTGAAAAGCTCTCGCTTTGGTCAAAAATATACACCAAAAATACCACACAAAAAATAAGTTAAAAAAATAATAAAAAAAATAAAAAGAAACTTAATGTTAAATTTGATGACCATAGTTCTTAAGCCAAAAGTCCAATCAAGTCTATAGATCTTATAGGTAGCGGTACACACGGTACTCCATGGGATCGAAGACGCTTCTTTCAGCCCGATTTTGCAATGCAAAATCAGCAGCTAAACGAGCAATCCGAGTCAAATGATTAACCAACAGAAACAGCAAAATAACAAATAAAACAAACAATAGAGCAAACACTTGAAGCTTTAGACAATTAAACAAGCCGAGCAACAAATCGAATCGTCAAACAACAACAATAACAGCAACAACAGATTAAACAATAAATGTGTTTTGGCTTTTCTGGGCACCGAAAATGTCTCCAGGGTCAATTTCAAATGCATTTGCATAGCCACAGATGCACACACACACACGTACGCACAGACACACACAGCTCAAAATATGCATAGATTAGTGTAATTACGAGTATAGCCATGAATTGGAATGATGTCAATGTTGGCTCTAAGGCATTTTACTGCACTCATGAATTGAAGAGCGAAAGAGGTATATGTTTAGAAATATATGGAGAGAGGCAGAGAGAGAGAGAGAGAGAGAGAGAAAGAGGGGAGAGTGCAGCATTAGTAACATGATGCCAGTTACATTTGGCATATGGCAAATGCAGCTTTTGATTTCATTTCATTACCCTTTGCAATTTGAACTATGAATAATTGAATATGTGCATTGCATACTTTAAGGCTCCAAATTGCCATTGCAATTGTTTGCCCCTTTTGTTGTTGTTGTTATGCTTTTGGCTAATTCAGCTGGAATATGCTTATTACGCATTAAAACTAATTAAGCATGAAAATTCTGTTGACTACCCCTAACGACGCGTCGTCCCCTTGACCAATTGACAAAAGTTTGCAAATATTGTTGTTTGTTTGATTGATGTCAGTTTTAAATTGTTCAACATTTAAAATTGGCTTGTTGCAACCTGTTAAACAGCACGCTCAATAGATTAACCAATGATGTCCATATTTATCAGAAAGTATGTATAGATCGAGACAACACATCAAAGTTAAATTGGTGGGTAAACAAGTGGCCAAATTGAACATTAATATGGATAGTAATATGACTTTTAATTATTATGCTTATTAAAGGCTAAATATCCAAATCGAGTGCAATATAAACTATTAGAAACATATACTGTGTTTTTTTTTCTACTATATTTATATAAATAATTTCAATAACTTTATTGATGCTTTAATCTAAATCTCGGGCTATAATTAAAGTTTTGTTTAGATATAATTCTAAATAAATTAAATTATTGTTTCCATTATATTTGAAATGGTTGGTTGAATGGAGAATTATAAAAATAATTTAATAAATTGAAAATTATATTTTTCTTAAACAAGCGTTTCTGAATATATAGATATTTATTAATTTAGGTATAAATATTTAAGTTGTAAATTTATGTTCTCTCCCATGTCTTAAACATTTGGGTTGACCCTCGTTTTGTCGACCCTTAATAATCAATAAATAAATAAATATTTTGGGGACCGAAATGGTAAACTGATGTAAAGCACGATTTATTGCATATAACTTTTGATAGACAGCTAATGAAAAAGATTCAGTTCTTATTTTGAATCCCATTACCTGAGTAGTTTAATAATAACAAAATATATGTATAGAATTGTTTAAGTCGTTGCCATAACAATTTAAGTACATAAATACAGCCATTTGGCCATCTGCTTTATTAAATTATTTGCAGCTTTCAAATTGATTTCTTTTGAGTCAATTATGCCGTACAAATTCCACACATAATTCCAATCAAACTGCACAATTTTAACAGGAAGCCCAATTGAAATACAACAATAGCCGCACGCTCAATCAATAATAGTCGAATCACTAATAAAAATGCGCTTTTGAAAAATTTAAAAACAAATTGAGTTAACAAAACTGAAAAGCACTCAGTTGAAACTTAATTGTTGTCGCGTTTCGGTGTATCTGTATCTGTAAATATATCTACGAGTATCTGTGTATCAATTGGTTACCTTAACTGCTTCATGCTGTTGTCTAGTCAATAAAATATGAATTATTTGAAATATTTAAGAGTAAAAATAAATCAAATACCAATGCTCGGCATCAAAGCGAGCAAAACAGCAGGGAAAACAAAATGTTCTGCGTGTGAGTGTGTATTTTTTTTCCTGGTCACAAATTTTTTATCAGTGAATAGCAAACTTTTTCGAATACGTCATGTTGTTGTTGTTGAATGCCTGCTCTTGTTATTGCTGTTGTTGTTGTCGTTGTCTAAATAAATTTTTTATTGACCATGGTTAACGCTTCAGTGAACAATAAACGAATGAGAGGCACGCAGCAGTGCGGACGGCCGAGGGAATTTTTGGTTCATGCCGAGCGGGAAAAGCGCAAAAACCACAGAGAAAAATGTTGCAGGACGCCAACCCCAACTGCCACTGTTGGCCAACACGTCGAAGCATGCCACAAGTTATTTTACACACGCACACTTCACAGTTAAATGTGTGTGAGTGCTTGTATAAAATAAAATGCTCGAATTACACATGTTATACAATTGTTAGACGTAAATATGATTCTGCTTGTGGGCAGGGTGAGACGCCCAAGAAACCAATCCAAGGCCCAAACTTACACCGTGTGTGTATGGATCTGACCATGAGTGACCGAGTGTGTGTGTTGGAATGTGAGTATGGACCTTATTATTACAATTTTCTAAACAATATTTTATTTACTCTGAAAATGCCTTACAATTTACTTAAGATCCGCTTATAAAAAATAGGTTAAATTCCTTATTATTATTTCTATTTCAATCCAAAATGGTGTTGAATATGAAATTTATTTATATTCTTGTAATAGTTTCATAGTATATAATAGTATTTTTTTTTTTCAATAATATATATTATCACTTTCTTCTCAAAAAAAAAAACATTCAAAAAAGTTTAATTAAAAAAAAAAAAACAAGTCGCAAACTTATTTTAAAAAGTTTTTACCAACACATATCAAAATATCCAAAAATTTACCAAATCATTTTAATTAGAAATCAAAAAATGTTTACTGATAAAAAAAGATATCCTAAATTTGTTTTAAATAATTGTGCCAATAATTTATATAGGGTATCAGATCTTCAGAAAATACTGATTTAAGCTTTTGGAAATTCGAAACACGTTTCAGGTTGCCCTAGCAATATGTGAGCGGCAGACGTATTTTATTTCCTTTGACTTGGCATTATTTTCATTTTTATTTTTATTTTTATGTGGTCGTTGCCCCTGAAACTTTAAAGCCGCCACGTAAAGTGCTGTGAAAATGAAATGAAATTAATATGAAGTTTGACTTAACGCCTCATAAATCATTGTCCAATTTTCATGTCGCATGCCCTGCAGCAAGCATAGTGGCATGAGCAGAACGAACAGGGCCAGGACAATCTTGTGCCGCTGCTGGCTTGGCTGCCTGTAACACAAACACACTTAAAATGATTGAAATATATGTATGGCAGATATATGCGTAACATGCTGCTACATTGCAGCAAAATTCCGACCATCATAATGTGGATATATACATATGTACATGTACGTGTGTGTGTGTGTGTGTATAAAGTCGGGCTACAAATTGACCAAGAGCGAAGACAGAAGCTGGTATGGGCTGGGTATGGGCCGAAGACTGAAGACTTCCTCATTACACGCTTGTCACGTGCACATTTAACGATTCGCTGCACACACACCCAAACACACATAGTACACAGTGACATAATTACACACACCCACACACTAACACCGGAGCATGACAGTCATTCATATTAATATTGTCGGTCAAAAAACACCCCCCGTAAAAAAAGTGCTAAAAAAAACCCTTACGCGCACTCGCATACGAATTTGTTTTTAAAGGATTTTATAATTGTATAAGAGACCAGCGCTTTTATCAACTGTAAGGACTTTACATACTTTTACACAAATTTGATTAAGTTAATATGATTTTCCTTAAGCGTGTGCAGACATTTAAAGCTATTTACAGTCTTACTATATGCAAAGTTAAAGTCTTAAATTTATAGAGTTCTCAGGCAATTGCAACTGCTCATACATTTTTTTTTCGTTTGCTTGTAAATTATGCAAACGCAGCCACAACCCACTTCTTGGTTTGAGTGGCGAGCTCGCTTTGGCTGCTAAAGCACATATAAATATCAAATATTTTTGCAATAAAATAAATTCAATAAGCTCTTTATTTTCACAAAAGTATTTAAGCTACATGATATTATTGTGGCCTTACAAACCAAATAAAGGGCAATCATGCAGAATCTCTTTTTAGAAGAATGTCAAAAATTGTTGTTTCTATAAAAAGTATTTAATATATTTTAATAGTAATTTAATAATTTAATAGGCATGACAAAGATATCTCTTCAGTTTTATGGAACGGTTGGTTTGTAAATCTTTTTGTGTAATATTATATCAATTTATATATTTCTCATTATATTTATCTGCCTCTATCCATTCATCTACATAGGCTGTGAAATTCTCATATCATTATTTTATTAAACTCTTGTAATCGTTATGATTTTAATCATCCCTTTTATTTCTCTCAAATGAAATACAGGCCTAAGAGCTTTACTTAAAAATCGAAATGAACATTTACTTGTTATTTAATTAAGTATCCTTAAGGTCCAAATTCTCAAGATTTGCCAAGAAACCATTTAATTTCAATTTGGCGTTTAAATTGCAAAGCTTGGCGCACAAGTTCATATGCAGTAGGGAGGCATTAAGCCGAAACTGGACTGACTGACTACTGACCACATGCACCACATGACGTCCCATTACACACCCAAATA